TGGAAGTCGAGTGCGTGGCGCATCCCTCAGACGGGATTGATTAACGCCAAAAACTATATCCTTTTTTTTACTTTATGTGATTTGATTATTTTCCTGTGAGAGCTTTTTTCATTTCCATTTAAAATAAAGTAGCGTACTTGATGCGCTTACATTATACCACCTTTGCCCGATTGACAAAAACAGGTGTAGCAAGTTTGTAAAAAGCTCTATAATACAGTATTACAACATTGTATGCATAAGTAAATACACAAAATGCAGTTGTCGAAACTAGTTGGAGTTAGAGATAAGGCGTACAACATCAATTTTTTACAATTTTAGCTCACGAGCCCCTTTGACTCTCGTTGAGCTGAACGCGTAGTGAGATGTTACCCTCCCACAAACTCTTCCACTCCCTTGCAACGTAAACGAATCCGATTCGCGAACGGGATGCCAATTATTTGAATTGTTCATTCAGCGCCAGACAGAGCAATGCCACTTGACTAGATCTTGATTATGTTGTTGCTGTGGCCACGGGTGATGAGGAAATAAATCGTCCCTGTGGTATAGGCGATCAATCACTTGACAGAGGTCTGGCTTTTTCAACGCATGACATCTCCAACTTATTGACGACCAGTCAATGAAATATTTGGGAACGAACATTAGCATGTGTCCAGACCCAACCAACTCGTGGAACAACGAAAACCCGGAAGTAATGGCAACATCGAGCTCATAATGGCATATTAGAGTCGAGTATTATTCGATAGTCATTACAGTACTGTTTGCCCAGTTGGGACCACTCGCTAATCCTGTTTGATATTTGTTTTGAATTGAGTAGACGAAGTGGATCCGGATCTAGTCGAATATTTAATGATTGGATGGTCGTGGATGTCAGCTCGATGAGATGCTGAAATGATCATGATTCATAAGAATGGAAAGCTGGCTTGCAGACTATAGTTGAAGGTAAATGAAATAATGAGGAATAATCGGAAGTGAAAAGATGGGAATATTCTTGTCAGTTATCAGTGAAGATATAAACTGAAGGAAAAATTAAACTCAAGAACATAGTCGGGAGAACCAGAAAGTATGGCAGCACAGTGAGTAGTAGTCCCCATCACAAGAATCTCAGAGGGTAGCAAATCCCATAAATCATCCTGCTCTACCGCAACACCTTTTCTCCAAGAGCGAATCACTTTTTCTACATTAGATGGACGGCTGTTTCCGAAAAATTACAGGATGAGAGGTCTCTTACAACCGAAGCAAATGGAACACACTCGTAAGGTGTAGTGGCCTCCCAGATAGCCAGTCTCATCTCTTCACATTCTGGTCACAAGGCTGAAGTTCAGATAATTGATGTACAATCAGCCAGTCGAATCAGTTTTCAGATAGGCATCTGGACAGCTGCAATGAACCGTGATTTCGTGACCGTCTTGGACTGAACTCCCTATTCATGGCGCTTTTTAAGTTTTCCACAAGAGAAGAGCTTTACCTGGAAGAGGCAATAGCCAAGGTTTACACACTAGCAGGAGGGGTTCCATCTTATCCGAGAAGGAGGTTTGATAAAGTCGTGGTGGTCATAGTTCATTTGTGATTGTGACCTTAAAACCTTGAATGAAATACCTTCAGCATCAATTGAGCATTCTTTGTGTTATCAGCATGGTAGTAGAACATTGACTGAGACTTGTCTAACGTTCCCGTTACCTCTGCACATTCCCAGTAACCATCGGAGCAAACCTGAGAGGAAAATTTGGGCTGAAAGCTTTCGGGATAGCTAACCAAAAATTGTTTGTACCTGCTTTACTTCAATGTCTGTTGGCATTGTGATGTCAAGCAACTTGCCATCTCGGATTTTAAATAAATGAATCACATCATTAAGCTTCAGGCAACATACACCTTCCCACACGACTAATATTCCATCCTCCAATCTGTACCACCCAGATGTCTCGTCTTCCAACATTCAGAAAGGGAAAAGCTGAAACGTCATGTTAAGGACATTCACCTTAACACATTAGCTTAAAATTTCCGAAGTGATGTGACAAATTCTGAACTTATCATGGTTGAAGGGAGAACTTCTAATGAGAAAAAGTTCACCTTTAAAGAATCTAGTAACCGGAATTATCAACTCACGTTGAAAGCAAAACTTTAGTAAGAAAGCAGTGAAAATTGAAGTTTCAGGGAAGTGACCACAAAGAAGCAAGTATCGCCGTTGTTTTTGTTGTGATGATCTCTAAGAAGAGAGCAAAATCACAACAAAATCTTCATCGATAGTTGCACCTCCACCACGTGATTCACGGAACCTTCCTTTGAACGACATCACGGCTACATCCAGTACTCTCATGGTCGACAACGGAGCTTTCGCTAATAAGCTTCTATTTGTGTAAAAGAAGCAAAAGCTCCTGGAAACAAAAGAAAAACTTGTCTCCAGCTTCTCTCTCGTTTTAACCTCGGCATAGTTGTTTATGATTATATATTCTTGTGCCGTGCGAGGTTGTTAGGTGGAACAGTTTATTAATCAGCGGCCTAACGTTTCGACGTTCTCGTCGTCTTCAGAGGCCAAGGTTCCACCGCTCAAGCGGATATAAAATCCGCTGTCGCCACAAGCGACTGTCAGTAGCGAAACGGACCAAACTTGTATTCTGTCAAGATTTGGGTGAATTCACCAAAATCATGGGCTTTGTAATATTCATAGAAGGCACTATTTAAACGATTGGCGGGAACAAGATTAGGGTTAAGGCGCCAATTGTTAGAATGGGTTCAAATTGGTCTTGGATAACAATAATCCCGGGTACTCCTGGAGTCCCAAAATTGATCGTCAATATTTCCATGAAAATCTCAGATCAAGAACGATCATGGGTCGACGCTAAAGTTCGTGAGTTAATAAATAGATGTAAAATTTGAAACAAAAAATCTGAGATTTTCTTCATTTGGCTGACTTACAGTACTGTCGGTCACCATTGACCGACATCGTCCCACGAGACAGACTGGCTGTCGTTCAACATTGACCGGCATTGTCGTCAACGTATTAACCAGCTAATCTTACAAGAAGACCTCTGTGCTATTGAAAAATAAGTCATATTCCTGACTCTTATGAGTTAGGATAGATTTTAATGAATTGTTTTTGCAGTGTATATGAAACTTGGCAGGGTTGTAAATGATTGGAAATTTCAATGTGCTCCTTCAGATCACGCTATTTAGTCTAAAGCACCTCGCTGATTTGTAAAAATGTCTCTTTGTTTAGCACTCAAGGGGAAGGTGTACTTTGAAATTTTGAACATTGAAATGGTCGAAGAATGATTTCCCATCTCTTCTTTGTTGTGACAAGTCATTTGAGATAGCAATTAATCTGTTTCAAGCGCTGGCCTAACTCTTATGCCTTCTGTTTTTGCAACCAGCTTGGCACAGGCTTACCCCGTTGAACATTTTCCAAACATTAAACTCGTCCGCAGCTTGAAATCAATCAACATTAATGATGAGAAAGTCCAGTCTAACAAACAATTACAAAAAAATTTGCGCACAACTCTTGGAAAAATAAAAATTAAAAAATAGAGGGGACCAAAGAAAAAAAGGGCCAAGAGGCTTGCACGATCACTCCCATTGACGATCGAAGCTGTAGCTGATCAATTCAATTGAAAACATTCGATCCATCACGATATATGTTATAATAAAGGATAAATAATAGAGTTTTTGGCGTTAATCAATCCCGTCTGAGGGATGCGCCCCGCACTCGACTTCCTTTCATAATCGTAGTGAAGTAATGAGTGCGTATGCGGCCTATAAAATGACTTGCGATGGCCAGCCGATGTACAAGTAGAAGCTTCTATCCTCCCAGACGAGTTTAGTAGCAATTGGCCGACCCTGGACGATTGGAAAGCCTGGTTGGCCTAGGAGGGCATCAATCCCGGATTCGGACCACCTACCGTTCGTGTGAGATAGTGCGCCGCTTGCCACTACACCACCTCCAACCTATACCCTTTATATCTTAATTTACCCTCTATTTATTCTTTATATTTTGGATTTATTTATTTATTTTTTAGGCATATCTTATGTAATGTCAGAAAATAAGGAGTAACAAGAGAAACTAAAAACAATTGAGAAATAACAACACAAGAACTGTGAAAAAAGCACATAATTAAAAAAAGGAGCAAGTAATTAGGCGAGATAGATATACTAGGAAGTAGTCATGGTTCTAGGAGATCATTGAGAAACTTGTTAGAAGCGATGATCAGACGATAATGACGATTTGAGCAAAACATAGTGGACGATCCAAGAGTTTTGCTATAGCAATGGGACCATTCGGAGACCTTGCCCCATTCCCTGGTAGGAAACAACCGACTCTCCCTCCTTCTACATACCACCATTCTTATGGAAATTTACGCAAATACAGTTTTATTCGTTTAGGATTAACTGAACACACGTAAATATGTGATAAAAATATATTAACGCAATATTACACTTTGTAAAAAAGAAATTATGTCAGAGAATCTTCGGGAGTATGGGGAGGAGTAGGGAATGGATATAGTGGGGAGGTGTTCAGGCAATACCAGGAAATGGTAAGTTTTCCAGATTATGAACCCTTTCGAGATATGCTCTTTCCCCTGATTTTCATCGAATCATGGAAGTTTTTGCGGAAAGATAAAGAGAGATTTCGAGAAGGCAAAAGCGGAACTGTGCCGATCTGTTTGTCTTTGAGTGAAGAAGAAAGTCTGCCAAACGCCGAAAGCTCACCTTCAGCTAAGCAAGCTACTCCGCCCATCGTAATGAATTCGTGATCAGGGCAAAGGACATGCTGGAGAGTGCATTCGTGACAGACAGGAGCTTCAGAGGGCAACATTCGCCCTTGCAACAACAAAAACAATCCTTCTGTTCGATCGCATCTGAATCGAATCCATTAATCCCACTTGAAATCACTTCGAATCGATGTAAAGGCAACATCACACTCCATAGAACAACTAGACATCATTAAAAAATTGAAAAAGTAGTCCAAATTGTTGATGAATGGTGTTGTTTACATATTTTCTGTGAAAGATATGTTNGGGCAAAGGACATGCTGGAGAGTGCATTCGTGACAGACAGGAGCTTCAGAGGGCATCATTCGCACTCGCAACAACAAAAAACAATCCTTCTGTTCGATCGCATCTGAATCGAATCCATTAATCCCACTTGTAATCACTTCGAATCGATGTAAAGGCAACATCACACTTCATAGAACAACTAGACATCATTAAAAAATTGAAAAAGTAGTCCAAATTGTTGATGAATGGTGTTGTTTACATATTTTCTGTGAAGAATATGTTCAATAACCGCTCTGAGGAAATTTTGCTCAACGAAAGGCCAGTGCCTAATTTAGTGGTCGTTTTATCCTTCCAAGGTCGTCAGAGGAGTTTCAGGTCTAAAAAGTACTTTGCCCAGTTATCCACCATGTTTTATCCAAAACTTGGAAAAAATCAGGGTTGTAAAGATATCAGGGACGTTCCTCTTCCTTGTCAATTCTCTGTGAGACGAACTGCTTTTTTACTTATATTACGTTTGTAAACTACTGATTTTCTTAAAGACAAAATGTTTTTTTCAAGAAAGGTAATAGAAATTAGCTTTTTGACGAAGTTGAGTAGAGATTTCTTCGAATGGTTTCATGTGCTCAAGGTTCAAAGCGTTGGGTAAGAAGTTGCCACTTCAAGCGCAGGTGGAACGGAGGTGACAAGTGGCACTCTTTGAAGTCACAGTTCGTGAAGAGGACCACGAGGCTGAACTTATCAGACCCACCCAACCACTTCATTCTATTTACATCGAATCCTTTTGAATGCTCCAGAATCGCCCGA